GCTGTCCACTGCTGAAGCGCCGACCGAGGGCTCCGTACTGCCCGCCTGGATGCGCCTCTACTTCTACGGGATGCACGGGATCACCCTGGACGTGCTGGTGTCCTCGGCGCGGCGCTTCGCTCACAGCCCGGACCTCCGGATGCTGGGCTTCTCCTCGCCCTACCGCTGCCTCCTGCACTCGCTCACCCACTTCGCCCTGGAGAAGGTCTACCTGCAGCGGCGGCGCTGCCCCAGCGCCTTCGTCTTCAATTTCCTCCTCTATCCCTCGGCCCACGTGGGGCTGCAGGCCCTAGCCGGCCAAGCACTGCAGCTCAGCCTCGGCAGCGGGCCGGGGGGCGCGGCGGCGCCGGGGGCGCTGGACCTGGCGCTGCAGTACGTGCTGGCGCTCTACCACTGCCAAGTGTTCTTGAAGCGCTTCCTGAGCTTGCAGTACCCGCGGCAGGGGAGCGCAGCAACCGCCACCGCCACCAGCAGCTGCTGCAGCGGAGGGGCGCACTCCCCGCCCCACCCGGAGCTCGGACCCCTGCTGCAACTGGCACTCGACGTCGCCGCCCCCGCGGGTCCAGAGGCGCTGGGGGTGCCCCCAGCCACCAGCTGCCTGACCTCCTCCGCTTTCTTTTCTTCGGAATGCACGGCTTTTTGGATGAGATATTCTTCACCTTCTTCTTTAACTTGCTGGGGCAGGGAAACGGGGCCACCAGCGGCCACACGTCCCTCTGGTCCTTCTTTATGTATGGCAGGTGGGGTTTCGTGGTGGAAAAGCTCTACTTCCACCTCCACTACAGCCGCGGTTGGGGAACCTGGAGGCGGGTACCCATCTACGTGGTCTTCATCTATGTCTGGGAGTTGTCCTGGGGCCTGGGACTGCGCGCCTGCGGGGCTTGTTCCTGGGACTATTCCCACTACCCGCTCAATTTCATGGGCCTCATCACCCTGATGTACTTGCCAGGTTGGATTTTCCTTAGCGTGTACCAGGACCTGCTTTCCAACGTGCTGTGGCAGGTGCAGTACGTACCAAGTAACTGAGACCAAATACTTTAAAAAGAAAGAAGAAACAAAAGAAATAGTTACTGGATTCCTACGACGAATGTGATTTATTTTTACACATTTAAAATGGAGTGTGGTTTTTTAGTCTTTTAATTTTTATACCTTTACTAAATTCTCCCAACATATTTTACTCAAGTTTTAGTTTTTCTGACTATTTGAAATGTATACATAATACAATACTTTGCCATATCATTCGAACTGTTTGAAATACTTCCCTAGTAACTATTTTTTCAATCTTTACAAGCCCAAACAGCAAAACCTTAACATCAGAAAGCTGTAGTGTTCACTTACCCAAGGAGTAGGTAAGTGATAGCTACTAATTTTTTATTTTTAAATAAGTTCTTCAAATCAGACACCAGTGATTTTTTTCTACCAGATTTGGCAACTTTTTGGTCTAATCATTTATTTACATTTTTTAACCCAAATTCATTTTAATTCCTTGCCCCATTTACCAATGACTGCTGAAACTCAATGTCTTTTACTCCTGAAACCAGAGTTAATATCTCTTAAAGTGCCTCCGTCTAGCACACAAGTGAAAAGAAGCAGACGAATGTGAACATATATTCTATGAATGGATTTTTAATTAAGAAGTCTTTTCTAGCAACTCAGACAAGTGACACTGTGTTAAGATATTTGATCTCCATCTTGGAAAGGATTGCTTTCCTATGTTGGTTAGCCTTAAACACTAAGTGGGTTACTGTTGATCACATCTTGTGTTATCTATGGCTGTACATTTTTGTTAATGCGCAATAATGTGAAATGTTTACCAATGTCCAAGGCCAACTGAAATTACACACCACCTTTAATAGTATTAGCAATGTCTGAGGCCAACTGAAATTACTCTGCCTTCTATAGTATTCTAATCCCAAGGACCTCTTTCTACATGGAGCTTCAAGAGTAGCAACAGTACCTCGGGATAAAATGAACCTGAAAGTTTGCTCTGATTACATTAAGCCTAATTGCTCTCTGTGAATACAGATTTGTGTTTTCAGCGTTTTTCTGCCATGGCTCACTTGCAAGCCTTTCTCTTTTTTTCTTTCTGGATCCAGAGTTCTTGGATCAGGCTTGATGTGGTAATGTGTGTTATAAATCAATAACAGCTTTTGGGTGACTCATTATTAATGTCTGAAAGCTCCAAGTTAAATGAGATGATATAAAATATTTTAAGAAATCATGTCTAATTAATTAATAATGAACTTTGGTGTCACTTGCTGTTTATTATATTTAGAAAAAGGAGTAGACTGTGGCTTAGCCAAGAATGACTAATACTTTCTCAGTTTTCATTACAAAGATAATTAGGAATGCTTACAGTGTGTATAAATGAGTAGTTTCCTATTCAAATCATCAGGTTGTCTATGCTGTAAAGAGGGACATTCTGCTGTTTTCAAAAATGGTTGCTATGAAAGTAGAAGATAATATGTATTTAATTTGATCAAGCCAGCCATAGTTCTAAAAATGTTAGTGTATTTTGATCCACTATCTGAAGTTGTGCACTAAATTATAACTACTACTGTATAATTAACTCCACTTATGAAATGAATCAGGTCAAATGTATTATTTTAGCCAGTCAAAGCTCAGTGGAAATGTTAAACATTTGCAGAGTTTCACTTAGAAACATTGTTCTTCATAACTGTTGGTCACAGGTCAAAAGTTTCTGAAAACCCCGGGGAAAAAAATGTGTAAGTATAAACACTAAAGTTAGGCAGACGCCAGACAAGATTGTCATTCAGACACGACACACACATATGAATCTGAGTTAAGTATGACAATGCTTCACATCACATGATCCTGTGAAACCATAACTGAATCCCTGACTTCTGAAATACTTGTGAAGCATTTGTCTGCACATAGACCCTTCACATGTCTTCATACAGCTGCCTACCTGCGTATCAGCATCCTCAGGGCCAGAAATATGGCAGGCAGACAGAAAGTAGGCTTCTTTGTTTTGTTTTTATTGTTATTCCTATTTAAATGAAAGGTCAAGGTTTCTATTCATTCAACTCATTCAAGAAATAGTATTGAACCTCCACTATTTGCCAGGCAATTGCCTGGACTCTGGATACAGGAGTGAACCTGACACACACAAAAATCTCTGTCCTGATGAAGCTCACGTCCTAATGTTTTGATTTTATTAGATTATACTTATTTGCAAGCTGTTTTACTTATTATATTCATTTACTTATTATATTTATTTACAAGCTATTTTAGTAATAGGCTGTGTGAGGCAGTTGTGAGGGCTGTCATCAGTCTTGTTTCTGGAATATCAATTCATTATTTCTAAAACAAGAGCCCATTAACTGTCCCTCGGCCAGTTTTACAAAGAGCTATAGTTCTTATGTATTTAGGAAGTGACTACCCTATCTTGTGAGTGTGTGTTTGTGTGTTGGGGGGAGGAGGGCGACAATAACTTTTATTTTCATTAAATAAGTACATGTTTATTTGCACTCATCTCAATTAAACCAATTTTACAACAGAAAAAGAAAAGAAATTTCCTTCCAAAGCTGAAAAGATGTGTATATTTATAATTAAAAAAAAAGTTCAACATCTGAATTAGGCAAAATTAATGCAAAAAATACTAACATCTAGACCTATAAGAATGAACATTTTCCAATTCAAATTTCAAAGACAAAAAAAAAGAAAACATCAAATGTAAATTCAAAAGAAAAGAGAAAAGAGACACTTTTGGTTTTGTCACTTAGTGTAAGTATCAAGTACAAAGTCGATCTGAGTTTTATCCTATCTCTTAAACTTAGCACCTTGCGTTAAGACTTCTCATTCTGTGTTTACTTCTTAAAAGTGGCATTTTGCTGCAACTTTTGAACCTTAAAAAAAAGAGAGAGAAAAGAAGGAACCATCAGATTATTTAGTCTAGTTACTCATTGGTAACAAGTATAGAAATTATAAGGTAATATAATGATTGTTAATATTTAACGAACACCACCATCCAGGAACTGCTCTATGGTGTGTGTGTGTATGTATAAAATTAGTTTTATATATTCATATGTATCTTATATGCATATATCTTGTATATATGTTAAGTACATGTGTATTTATGTGTGTACGTATATTTATCTAAACCTCTAAAAAACTTCTTTTCACAGATAAAGACAGTGAAATTGAAGTTCAGATAGGCTGAGATAGGCCTTAGAACACACAGCCATTGAGCATTTGGATTTGACTCCTAGTAATCTGGATTTCAGGTTCTGTACTTAATCACACAGTCATGCCTCAGTCTCCCGATAGCAGGGATTTTGGATCTTCTACGGATTCCACTTTACAATCTGTATTTCTCTTCTTTTCCACTATTACAGGTGCAAGGGTAGTTGTACAAAGCCCAGACACTAGTAGCAGAATTATTCTTTCGTGTCGTCTTTTAATTCCTTGGTAAAACTAACAAGGGATCTCATAGCAGGATGCATAACTGACAATCATCTTCGTTCTAATCCCCAGATGATACATTTTTATATTCAAATGGTGCTCAAAAATGGAGTTTCTCCTTTGAAGTCAGATAATTCTGAGTATAAAAATATAAACATGATACATCAAAATATAAGATTCCCCATATGATAATTTAGGGAAAAGATATATAACTATTGCTATACATTTAATATAGTACTCAGAACGAGACTCACTGTAAAAGTCACATGGTCAGAAATTTAAATTTGTTTTTTACAGAGACGTTTATTCTGGGTTCTATTAAATACCTGAGCCTTAAAGTTCTTTACAGAAAAATATGAGGAAAAAAAATAACAATAGTAATGTCTTCCTATGTTTAACTTATACACTGTTGAAATTTTTTATTAGAAGTGCTTAGGAGTCAGCTGGTTGTATGGTGGTAAAGATGACTAGATTCCACATGGCCAACTGCACAGTTCAAGTCCCAGACATGGCAGCCTGAGAAATACACCCCGGCATGTGTGCATGTGTGCCCAAAACCCTGAAAGAAGATAGAAACAGAGAAGCGATTGTTGCATGACCATTCTGCACAGGGAGTGCTTCCTCACTTTCTCTCTCTCTCACTCTCTCTCTCTCTTTCTCTCTCATATGTGTACCTTTAACAAAAGGGTTTTGTTTTTGTTTTTTAAAAAAGGAAGAAGTGCTTTAAATTTAAAATCAATGCTACTTGGACTCTGAATCTAAAGAGGAAGATAGCCTTTTGAGATTTTCATGCTAACAACAGATGTAGAAGTTCTTATCTCATACAAGGACTTCAATTGGTTGATTATTTACTTCAATATTAACTATGAATATTTTATTATAAATATTTGGCACTTCATACTTCAACTTAGCAAAACACAAGTTAGAGAAATATTTTTCTTCTGGTGCTTCATTGTGCTACCTTTAATTGTTTAAGAAACATCTGTACTTGGATAATACTATCCCTTAAAAAAAAATAATTTCTACTGTTGGAAATAATCTTTCTTGGCATGATGGATCTGGTCCTTATGTTTAAGAAAGATAGTGAAGAATGTTAGTAAACTGCTTTGGTTTTTCTTTTCTATTTTCAGAACACAAGTTCCAATTACTTGGAAAAGAAGTTATACTGCCAATATAGAGTTAGAGTGATAAATAAGTAATGGTATTGTAGTATCTGAAAGCACTTTCATAAAATCAATTCTATTTATATTAAAAAGCATTAAATTTACCACTTAAATTAATTTTTTAGAGAGATTTTTGCTATAAGGTACGTGCCACTTGCTAGAGAGGCAGAGAAAAAGAAAACGAGAAATCATCTTCCAGGAGGGATGGCCCCACCGCAATCCCTTCTCCATTCTCGTCTCAGGATCTTGGACATGCATGCACATGTGCCCAGCATGAGTTTTAAGCTGTTGGGTCTAGGACTTGAACTGCAGTTAACTATGTGGGAGTCCAGAGACATAACCATACTCCATCTGTTGGTCGCACCACTTAAAGTAATTTTAAACATTCTGTCTCCATCAGTGCTTAATGGAACTAAGTTTACTGAAGAAAGTAAGGGGACAAGACACAATCCCCACTCGCACTTAGCTCAGCTTAGGCTACAGTAAAAGACAGTAAAATATGGTTCTGTTTTGTTGCTGTTTGTTTTCTGTTTTGTTTTGTCTTCTTTTCTTTTTTCCTCTTCTTAGCCTTGGTACCAGAAAACTAACAAAACTAGCAATTGTCTGTGTGGACCTCTATTCATTAGAATTGGCCTTATTCTCATTTCTAACCCTAAGATCACAAGCCATCGCAGGTGATATTTTCAGTCACTACTAGCAGACCAACATGTAAATGAACCTATGATGCATACACAGAAAATTTGGGGCTAAAGAATTGTTTTAATTTTAAAATTATCTTTAAAAAAAAATGAATAACAGCTGAGAAAGAAAGGAATTATCATGGGCAAATAGAAAGGCTTCCCTCCTAACAATTCTATTAGAATGGCAAAGTCATGGGAACCAACTTTTCCAGCTAGAAAAAATATGCCTTTACTATGATTAAGGAGAATTAAGGGTGGAAAGAAACCATGAAGGTTAATAACATCCAGCACTCCACCCAAGGCGATAATTTACATCCTTTCATGGTTGTCAGCTCAGCTTGGGCAATTCAAGAGGGTACTGTGTATTTCAGGCATTGACTAAATGGGGGTAAGCTGCTAGAAGCTGAGTTGATTAACTCCACCATCTATCAGCAGAAAGCTCCATCACTTTCAGGAGTTAATAGATGCTGTTTGTCCTGCTTGTTTATCACGATACAGTATTTCTTTGGAAAAATTTTTTTCTTTATTAAAAAAAAGTACAATGTTTCATTCCTTTTTGTTTATAATTGTGGCCTTTCATATCTTTTCAAACAAAGCTTCATTGACCCAGTCTAAGCAGCAAAACTTTGAGAGTGATTGTAATTACTTCAGAAAATAAAAACACATTGGTGTTAGGTACAGGGTAGAGCATTAAAGAGTAGGAGCCCTCCTTGAGTCATTAGTGTGTCAGCCATTAGAAAAAGCCTTCACCTAGCTGCTCAGTCAACCCACAGATGATTTACCTGGTGGTGTTTCCTGGTATCTTCTCCCTGGCGGACTCAAACAATTGCACCAAGAAGGGAATTGAGAGGTCATAGGTATCACAGAGACAAGTAGCTAACCACGGAAGGGTGAAAGATAGTGTGAATCAACACATCCATCCAAAAAGTGTGTCCTTAACCATTGTTAAGGAAAAAATTAGCTCTGCTTTTGATAAAATTCCAACAGACATTTGTATTCTTACACAAAGTATTTCATTACTATATAATTATTATCTATGATGAAAATAAAAGTAGTCTTACAGGATCTCAGATTCAGAACACTGAATATTTGTAAAGTTGGGGTTGGCTCTAGGGCACATGTAATGTGGTACTCAAGAGAAGGTGATTCCCATATGTTGACTATCCCTAGCCTAATCAGCCTGAGACACACCCAACCTATGCAAGAGTGCTCAGAATCCAGCAGGCTGCAGGATGGACGAAGGGGATCATAGCATGACCAGACCCTGTGGAGGATGCTCCTCTATGTCATATGCACACACACTATATCAAAAATAAAAGGGAATATAAATTAAAAAGAAAAAAATCATTATTGGGAGAAATTAATATTGAGAAAAACATGCAGGAAGTTTATATCATACTGTTCTGAAGTTATTGTCCACTAACTTTTGGGAACAAAACTAAATTAAATATGTTCCCATACATTCCTGAAGAACTATTTTAGTCTTACTCTTTTATTAGAAGTGATGAATGCACAGGAAGAAAAAATAAATACAGGAGCTCCTTGGAGTATGAGAGACTATGCACTCAGATTTCAAGGACTTGAGAGCTAGAGTTTAATGAAATTTATCATTGTACTTATTCATAAAGATGATACTTCCGGCAAATAAAATGAAACAGAAACAAGAGAGGTAAAAACTGAAAAAAAAAAGATAAAAAGGATAACATTCAAAAGCCTTAGATATTGATGTATGTTTTTTTTTTATTGCTATCATTTGTTTGTTTTTAGATTTTTGCCATAGGGCACATGCACTTGCTGGAAAGAGTCAGAGTGAGGGAAAGCTAGAAATCACCCCAGAGGATGGCCATGCTACAGACCCTTTTCCTCCATCCTCCTTTAGGGATTCTAGGCATACACACAAATGTACCTGGCATTTTTTTTTTTTAAACTACTGGTCCAGGATTTAACCTGCAGAGTTGGCGATGTGGGAAACAGCACCTTAACTACCACACCACCTGCTGGCTCCCTGATGTGTGTGTGTGTGTGTGTGTGTGTGTGTGTGTTTATGACTAAAATAATTTAAAAATGTGTTATTCTAAGTCTTTATAGCATGCAAGATTTGCATTCCAAAGAAACTTTTACATTCGTAAAACATTCACTGTGTGAATATCAAATGTGTGCCTCATACAACTCAACAAAATTTTGGGGTTTATTTTTGTGCGTGTGTGCAACAATGTTATCCAACATACCATAAAAGTTTTAATAGTAGTATCATTGAAATGTCTACCCAAAGCA